TGATTGTGGCTTTACAAGAAATGATTGTTCGATATGATATGAATTTATATGTTCAAGCGTCACTTGTAATGTCATCAAGATGAACCGAGTATAATGTTTATGTTTGATCTTAATTGATCTATGAGACATGTCAAATTTAATTCTTGATTCCACTGTTCATAATTGTTTATTAATTGAGTTCAGATTTTCATATTTTTATTGTTGAGCAAATTTTTTTTCTATGTATTAATATACTTTCCCATTTTTATATTTTTCAAGATATCTTGTGTCAGAGTTGAGATATGAAATAATTGTTTGTAATATACTATTTGAGGAGATGCATTTATATATTTTGCAGGTTGTTTTCAAGATAGTTAAAACTATAGTTTATATTTCGAGATATATTTTGTCAATATATTATCGTTGATTAATTAATCATAGAATAACATATCCAAAAATCGAAAGTTAAATGTACCCAAAACAGTTGCTATGCTCAATTCCATTTCATCAATGGTTACAGTTAGGGATCCATGAGCCGGATTACCCACAGGTTTCGTTACTCGGTCGAAAAAAAATAAGCTTAAGACTTGATAGACCCGATAATTGACTCACCCAAGCCAATAATCTTAAAAGAGAGCTTAAATTTGCCCCCAAACCCATTACATGGCCCATCAAGCCCAGCCCAGTCCCGCCCGCCCACATTTCATTTGAAAAAAAATTATACTTTTAAATCATTAAATTTGAAACTTTGAAATAAATCTCTTATTGTCAAAATTTAAAATTTAAAATTTTAAAATAATATATTATTTTATTTTCCATGTATTAAACATAAAATTTTTAAAGGTAAAGTAATGCAAATGATAGATAAGTGAATAGGTGTCAACTTAGTTGGAATGTATTCATTCTATTAGATGTAGTTCATTCGCTAATTAAAAATAAAATTATTCATTATTTTATTTTTATCCATTTTGACTATTTTTGATTCAAACATATAATTTATACAAATATTAAATTACAAAAATATTAATTATTTTTAAATAAAATATATGTAAAAAAATCAGTGAACAGACCCACCCAACAAGCTCGCTCACAGGCCCGCAGGTTGGGTTACGGATAGCTTACCTCTATCAAAGCTCAGCCCGACCTTTGCTAACTCACTTGGATAAAAACTTGAGCCTACACTACCCGGTCTTTACCCCAAAAAAATTTCACAAACCTAACCCAACCCGGCCATAAACACCCATGGCTACAGTTGGAATCTATAGCTTCAGAACCATTAGATGTCCTAACAGACCAGACTTTGTGAGATGGCTTTTTTGTTTGAAGATTAATTTTTGCGTACCTCGACTAATTCTTTTCTTAGTTCAATTAAAGACAAGTTATCCTTGCCAAAACTAAGATATTCATGCCTAACCCCAAAAAATTCCTAAAATTTGAACTCAGAACGTCTGGACGATAAAATAGTTATAATGGTCAACCGCTAAACTCCAAAAAATAATCAACACAAGCCTAAACGCTCTGTATAAAAAAAAAAAAAAAAAGGACTAATAATCCTACTAAATGGACATTGATGATCCGTACAGAGATGGTCACCAATGAATTATGATATGGAAGGATTTAGATAGCACCAATAGGAAATAACTTGAGAATAATTAACTGGAACAGTTTAAATATACTTGGGATGATCTTTTATTAGAAGACAATTTCTTTTTAAAAAAGTTTATATGATTTGAATATATTTATATAATCTATCTAATATTATAGCTAGAAAGTTATAACATCGATCTAATTTTTATCTAAAAAATTTCCGGTTCAAATTATCAACTCAACCAATACACTGCAATGTCCGACAACCTTACTAATTCACACCTACCTTTCTTTTCTCTCTTATTTTCTATATGTTCACTTTTATTTTAAATTACGTATTTAAAAATAATGATAAATTACTACTTAAAATATAAATGTTGCACAATCAATAATAATTTTTCGTATTACAATGTATCTTCCTGTACGGAATTATTGCTAGTATATTAGAAGACATATACATCAAGTAAAATAAGTAAAAGGAAGTGAAGAGGCAGCTTTAAAGTAGGGGAGGGCTTCACAAGTTTTCTTCTTCGAGGTGCTTAGATATCCAAAACACAGATTACTTCAACCCCCGACTGATTTTTCAGACCAAAACCCTAAATGACTATAGGCACTTCGCTTTCTTCAAAAAGAGCAGCCCAAGCAAGATGGAAAGAGGGTCAAATGAACTCAGTCTTACCCTAGTATTGCAAAGACGCTGTAGAATGACTCGGTCTTACCCTAGTATTGCAAAGACGCTGTAGAATGAACTCAGTCTTACCCTAGTATTGCAAAGAAGCTGTTTCTACGACTCCAACTCTATACGCCCAAGGACTTCATTTTCTAACCGTTAAAACTATGAGTTCCTGAGTAATAAGTTTAAAAAATGACACACCGATGGTCAACTCACCAAAGCAGCCTCTATGAACACTCCTGCTTCAAGCCAGAGAAGTCCAAGCCAAACACCTGTCAGATATATATTCCATCAGTAGTTCAAACCAAATGATAAAATAAAACTCGTATTTAATTAGTAGCTCACCAAGGATACAAGTTCATATATTTACAAGAAAAATGGCATATGATATACGAATATTGATAGCAAAAGGTTAAATTGTCCCATAATCTGGCAAAAAAATATAAGGAATGTATTAGTGTCCAGTGAGGGGTGCATTACTTAGTTTTTGCCCAAGTCACATAGACATGGACAGTAAACGCATACACAAAGGGGTACCTAGAATGTAACCAAATATTACAGCCGCCTAACATTGGGGCTGGAGGTACGGTAAACTCTGGCCAAAACATGACACCCGAAAAGCCCGGCACGCACAATCCTATCTGAGTCCTGTGGTAACATGTAATTAATTTTTCAATCTGATAAAAAACAAAAAGAAAAGAAAATATGCATACACAAAAAGATTCCTTCCAAAAGATTGTTAAGGAATAGAAATTCATCAGCTTCCACACATTAATCAAAAATTTTAAACCATTTGAAGCTTGAATGTTCTTACGTATCACGAAAGATTGAGAAAGGCAGTGGAAACAAAACTTAAAGGCAGTATATGTTGATATCAAATACATAAATCTGTGAATGGGCCACTATCTAACACGCACATGGTTCGTCTTTTCTTCTGAGAAGTAAATAGGCATGATTTCTTCACTGGAGTAATGATAACTCAAAGACTCAGACCCAATGCAAAAATCCTTAATATCACCAGACAAGCCAGTATTTTGAATCAGATTTGTACTATCATAACAGCATATCAATCATCAGTTTGACTAATCAGTCAGATTCACGTCTTCCTTCAATCATAAAGCAAAAAATTACAAAGTTGTATACACACCTTGCACTCAACTGGCAGCAGGCAGGTAGACCCTAATTGTATCTTTCATGGTGACTTTCCTCCGACATGTGGGGCATTTTCTCTGAGAAGCTATTGAAGCCTTAATGCACACCTTACAAAAAATATGACCACATTTTGTTGACATTTCCTCAACTAATGGACCCATGCAAACAGGACAGTTAAAGGTAGGCTCTTTTGGCGGTGGTGGTGGAGGTGGAGCCACATTCCTCGCATTCTCTTTCTGCATATATGATCATGAATAAATCTTAAACTCAGTAAAGTTCAATAAAAAAACTCAAGACAGGGAAAAATGAAATCAATCTGATCACTGGAACAGAAGGGAACACAGATACCACTGCAGGTGAAGCAAGTCATTTCGTCACATATCAGCTACAACAATAATAAATGGATTCCTCTTCTACAAGAAAGCTTAAATGCAATGTTTTGCAAAATCTTATTCCAAAGGACTTCAAATATACAGAACTTATACATGCTACGAAAAAAACCAGTCCCGATCCATAAAATGTTGGCGATGTATAAGACTATGAAAAAGATCATTAATAAGGTAAGAATCTTATAGAGATGAATGCAGATGTTGTACTCCAATCCACAAGCATCAACAATTGCTTGAGAAGTGTGGCAAGATTGAGGGGGTGCATAATTATTATATACCAAACATAACTCGATCAACTGCTCAAGTCATATGACATAAAGCCCAGGAAACAAAGACATGTTTTTGTCATCAAACATCCAATTTTCGTATCCTATACCCTAAAGGCAAAACTGAAGTGCCCCACGTGGGTAATTCACTTTTAGGGAAATAAGACAGCAGACAATAAAAAAATAGATGAAGGAATTTAGTTTATACTTGGTTTAAAGAGTCTGCCGGATGGTAGGCACTAGGCACCACAACCAATGACAGAACTGTTGGGCCACATCTAACACTGGCACTTCACAATTTACATCAGTATCATTCCGTATAAAGATCACAAAAAACCCATGACAGACTCATTCAATTATGGATTTGATAATTGGATAAACAACAGATTGCATAAATTTAAATAGAAGCTGTGAATATGGATACATTCAGGATTTCAGTAAGACATCGTATAGTAGTTCAACTCATATCTGCAACTAGATATGCTAGGCCATTAACCAAAACATTCCAGGTTGTCAGTTATCAAACAACAAGAAACGGATAGAATGTCAAACATATATGAATAAAAAACCACTCCAGTTCACCATAAATGTGGAAGCTAGTCCCCCGTTGGAGGTTCCAAACTAGCTGTATGATGGCCGCTAAGAGTTTTCACCTTCATTTTTGTAGGGTAAATAGCATTTACACAAGCAGAATAACTCAGAAAATCATCCGCAAATTGGCTGCATACATAGTCAATACAAACAAGGCAAAACGACCAGTTGACCAAGTACAAAAAAAAACAGCAAAATTTCAAATGCTATTATTTTTAGCCATGAAGGAATAGAAAATGGGGAAACATCAGTTAATATAATGTCAACAACTTAACAGATCAATTCACCACATAAACATCAATGGAGACTGAAAAATTATAATGCGTAAAGAAATGTAGATGTTACCATATAGTTGCTACTTCCTTCCAAGTTTATGTAGTGGTCACAATTTATAATTGTCTGGTTCGCAGAACCTCTTCTACGCTTGTGGCGGTTATTAAGTGTCAACCTAGATGACCATTCTTCTGCAATGATAATGATATAAATCGGAATTCAACCCCCACAAATACGGGAAATAAGAAGAAAGAAAACCACCAATAAACTTAAGTAAGATACTACATAAAGTCAGCCAAGAAAACTGCATGAAATTAATAAAAAGGACCATTCTATCTCATAAGAGAAATTGCAAAAACCAAGAAAAAGTATACATCCACAGCTGCTAACTTATTTGCAACCAATAAGATCTAAAACAGAAGGTATCAAGAGTTGCCTGATTGCAGTACGCGTTGGCCTAAAGAAAGAAGCACCTCTTCAGCAAGTAATTCTGTAACAAGAAATTATGAGTTTAATTAAGGTAGGTCAGGAAAACTGTAATTGTACCCAAACAAAAAATTTGGAGGACCAACAAAACTAAAAGTAATTTTTTTTCTTTTTAATCCCCCAGCATGCGCACAAGGGCGGAGCAAGGATTCTATCTCAACACATTAAAAATTCATCGATGTAATAATTTTTTTAAAGTTCAAGCATAAGAGATAGACAAAAATTTAAGACTAAGTCACTAAATAAAGCATAAAATCAGTATCAATCACCCTTAACAAAAGATGAATAAAAAAAGGCACAAGATAATTCATACTTTGTTCATTCAATTCAATTATGTATTATAGTGAGACATAATATTCTTGCAAATCCCAAAATTGCTTACATTTAATTAATTCTATACTAAATTTCTCAGTAATTTATTTTCAATACCCACAATCAAAGAGTCTTTGACAAAATCAATCATTTTATTGCAATAATTAATTGATATCATCACTCATCTTGTTGAGAAATTGATTCTTTTGACGAGCAAAAAATTATTTTTGGTTAATAATTAATATACTTTCCAGTTTGCATCCAATTGTATTTTACTGGGTTATGGGACATTAACTTACCAGTAAAGAGTCAAGGTTAACAGTACAACTGTTTTCTTTTCATCCGTCAATATAAAAATAGGACATACTACATTCATTATCTTCAGTCCAAAAACAAACATTTGTTTGGTTTGGTTTGAATGACAACTAAGGTACCTATACCAATTTAAACAAAGTTAATGGGGGCACTGTATTAGAATCAACAAACTTGTGATTTTCTTAACACCATTGTGCAACGGTTAGTTGAAAGTCAGTGGGGGCATGTGTCCCCACACCATTCAAAGTAGCTTCGCCCCTCCACAAGCATATGAATAATAATTGAATCATGATTCAAGGTCGTGGTATCAATCATCGACTCGGACAACTCTGGGACACATCGGTTGCAATGTCGCCACACCGTATCGAACAATACGGCCTAAAAAAAAAATGTTGAACACAACAAAAGATTCAGGTCATACCGCAATATCTCAGAACCGTATCGGCCAATTCAGTGATGATAACTCGGTGACTCACGATTGACACAGATACAACTCCAACGAATCGGCCGAGTTGTTCGAGACTCAGGGGTTATATGTATTGTCTAACGGTATCGTTTCGGCAATTGTTGAGTCAGATACGACTTCGCCGACTCGTATCGGTATCGACCGCTACTTTGAACCATGAATTGAATGCTTAAAAGTTGAATATTTGGTATGGATTTCCAAAATGAACAAATGCCTCACATTCTTATCCAAGCTTCCTCCACGTGGTGGCAAAATTAGAACTTGGTGTATAATTCTACATCATTCATCAATGTAAGACGTAAGAATCTAAATTGGAATTACATTTCCTCTAGATAAAACTCCTCCCCTGATGGGTAGTCTATTTACTCTACACAATTGACCAAGTGATGCCGATTTACTAACTCATTCCCCACCCCAAGAGATTTATCTCACCAACCAATAAGAAAATTAGGTGCAAAGCTCAAAAACTGTAAATGTTTACACCCTTGGATTGGAAATCTACCAGCAACTTTCTTTCATCCATAGATTAGCTTATGTAACGAGCACAATTGAAACCACCCCAATGACTATTTCTTCATGTTTTGAGGAACGAACATAATATACAACCACAGCAAACAGCCCAGAAGCTTAGACAGCATAAATATGATTTAAAACTTGATATTTTTGCGAGCTCCATAATAAATAAATAAAAAGGACTAATATGCAAACACAACAAAGAAGCGATTTACAACAGCTCCCAAAAGCCATTACACAAAGCTAACAAAAAATCTATAAACAGAAAGTGAAAAAAAAATGGCTCACACATTTCACTGGATACAAATCTACATCATAAGCAAAATAGAAAGAGTGAAGAAAAACCTGAACTACCAGAATCTACATCAACCACAACAGTCCTTTCATGATTCCTCCTGGAATTGTTTTTAGCCTGACATAAATAAAATATTTTACTACAATTAGCAGTAACCACTAATCAGAGAACAACCATAAAAATACAAACATCACGTGCACCAAATGCATTCATGTTTATTAGAGATTCGACAAGATTTATGTCGAGTGTCAGCTAATTAACACAACCATCTTATTTTTACCCAACCTAGCCAAATACATTTTTCTTGCCAACTTCATGAAATATAAATGAATAATAAAACAAATATTCTTTTTCTTATTAGAAACCAGAAATAAAACACATACTTCTGCAAATGCCCTGGGAGAAGATATGATTACATCATCATCAAGCACTTCAAGATCAATCGCTGCAGGGAGTAAGTTAATGTCTTGTTGACCAGCTTGCACATCATGAGGCCCACCATGAACCGAAGTCCTCTCCTGGTCCCGGTGCTCACTCGGTGGCAAAACATTGAGATCCAAATCTAGTGCCACCTTCCTCCGACGTGAGTTCCTCGTGTACGTTATAGGAGTTGCCCTTAGCTCCCGCATACTCATGCTATAACAGGAATCACACCATTAAAACCCCTGATCAGGCGAAAACAGAGAGATCGAAGAACCTATTCAAACATCGTTCATAATTAGTTCCAAAGATGAATGGTTCACCTCACCTCCTTTGTGCTCATGCAATAACTATTCTTTGAAATTTCCTCTATAGAGATGCCAACAATAAAAGATGCCAAGATAACAAATCATCAAGATTAAAAACTAAAGATTCCTCTTTTCCAATAGTTTCTATTGTTTCGATAATAAACCAAGAAAATGAAGCAGATTTTAGCATTAGATATGGATTTCCCATCTGTTTTTTTCACTTCTAACACTCAATGCTACCCTCAAACCTAGCAATAGATAAATCAAATTCCCAAAATCTTGTGTCGGCTATCGACTCTAAACTTCATGTAATTTCATTTATTAATCATGATATAAAAATTCAAACTTGAACTAACATTTTCTGACTTTTGAACCGAATCTAAGAAGAAAATTACACGAAATTTATGAGTCATTAGACTGTAGAACACTTCAAAAAAAAGAAAAACTTTGTACTCTCTTGAGCAATCGTCAGATGAAACCTTCAAATAATCAGGATTCAGGTGTCCTAACTCAAAATATAAACATTTTTCACCATGAATGCACGAATCAACTGAATTAAAATCCAATCTTAGGAGAAAACTGTCCAATTTCGAAACCTAACAGTCCAAAAAAAAAAATCTGTAAAATCAGTTTTGCCCAAAAAAAGGACTTCCAAACCCTAGCCGTGCAAAAGATCGCAAGTATTCTTATCATCGCAACCAGTTACAAAATCAAATTCCTAAAAAGAAAGAAAAGATAATCAAAACACACACAACTCTAATACATAAACAAGACACACAAGACTCAGTAGACCACATCTTCCGATAAAAACAAAGAAAAAAGACATCGAAACCTAGATTTGGAAACAGAACCCTAAAACGACCACAAAAAAGGCATAAATTCAACCAAAAAAACAAAAACAGAAAGATTACATGAAGCAATCATCATACCTGATTCTCAAGGTTTATGTGGTACTGAAAATGGCGAAGCAGAAGACGAAAGTAGAATTGGGTCTGTCTTTAAGGTCTTCCGTGTCTAGGCCTCTAGCTAGGGCTTTGGTGTTTTCTGAAATCGGGTCGGTGAGGCCACAAAACAGGACACGTCTCTATATTCCATGTAGGACGTGAAGTACACGAAGGAGACGAAGGGGCCATTGAAGGGCCATGGCTGTTGTCAGTAACCTCACAAGCGTACTGGCGCGCGTGTTTGCGCTTGAGGTCCGCCCGCTGTTGGATCTTCTCACCATAGGTTCGAACTTCGAACTCTGTCCCCCTTCCTTATAATAATACCCGAGCCCAACTCTTAAAAATTTTGTAAGTTTTTTTTTGTTTTTTTGAAAGTGAAAATTTTACAATTTCGAGCCGAGATTATCGAATTTATTTTATTAAACGAGTTTTAAAAATTGTTCAAGTTCTAAATACACTGAGCCAAATTCGAGCTGAGTTTGAATAACTTAACTTAAATATTATATTGTTCAAACCCAACTAATTTAAAAAATAAACTGACGCCGAATCGAGTCCAAAACGAGGAAAATCTGAACTGAACTCGAATAACTATGTTTGATTATCAGTTCTGGTTCTAAGTAGACCTTAAAATAATTAGATTTTGATCTAAACTTGAATTTGAATAGCTGAATATGAATTAATATTTTTTATCGATAATCCAAACTTGAATTTGAATCCGTTATTTTATATTTCATAGATTTAAATTTTGATATATTTATATCCGATCCGATTATAATTTTATTCGAAATATATATGTTTTTTATATAAATATTAAAAAAATTAAGTAATTATTTTTAAAAAATATTTTAAATTTAAATGTAATTTGATATTTTTCAGTTAATTTAAGTTATTCATATTATAATAGGCCACTATAAGAAAAAAGAGGGGCCTATTATTGAGTTTTTACCCCAACGGGGGTTGTATCAAAATATACCCAAAAAATAATTATTTTTAAAAGAATTTTCAAGCTCATACAATTATAAAAACGTTATTTGAAATGAAAATTTTTAAACGATACAGACATGAGTCGAGGGAATGTTGTTAAGTAAAAACATCAAATCAACTAATTTTTTGTGGCAAGATAAAAGTTATATAACTCCACTAAAAACGTCAGTTGGACTTTCATTTTTAGTGGAGGGGACAAGAACGCTTGATACAAAAATTTATGTGAGAATTACACATAAATTCTTTGAAATTTATCATTTAAATTTTTGACATTTAAAATATTACACACAAACTACCTAAAGTTTGTACGCGCGTAACACTTAAACTCTATTGTAAATATTTTCGTTAATAAATTACACTTAAAGCCTCCTGAAGTTTATAAGTATATAATATTTAGACTTGTTAAATTTAAAATATTATATTTAAATAAAAAATACTCCAATCAAAGATAGAATATCAAATATTTTAAATTTTACAAGCAAAATTCATATTATATTATATCATTTATTGAAATAAAATTAAAATTTTAATTTTAATTTTTTCTTAAAAAATTATAATTAATATACAATTATACTATTTACTGGAATAAAACTAAAAAATAAACAAGCGGTCTAAATCATTCATAATAGAACATGAATTTAACATTCAAAATTCATGTTCTATTATACCATTTATTCAAATAAAACCAAAAATAAAAATCTAATTGTTTAAAAAAAATCATAGTTAGTATATAATTATACTATTTATTAGAATAAAAATAAAAAATTAAACAAGGGATCAAATTGTAATTGACACAATATCTTTTAGCTTTAATTGAGATAGTTTGGTATTTTAATTTGGTCATTTAAATGATCAAATTAAATTCTAATAGACAATATAAACATAACATTTTAAACTTAAGGGGTCTAAGTAATATATGTTTATAAACTTCAGAAGGTCTGAGTGTAATTTATTAAGTGATATATTTATAGCAGAGGTATAAGTGTTACTCGCATATAAACTTTAAGGGATTTATATATAATATTTTAAATATCAAGGGATCTAAATGATTAAGTGACAAATTTCAAGGGTCTGAATGTAATTCTCTCAAAGCATATTTGCTAAATAATTTTCAATCACTTATGTTCTGTTCCATTCCTCCGATCAATTGACCTTCATCCTCTCTTTTTTTCTGAAGTTTTTGTTAGATTTTTTGAAGTTTAATATGTGATTAACTACATTGTTTGATGGAGACCCCTTTTCTCTCATCACCTCGTGGAATGGATTCTGGATCGCTGAGAGGATGGAACGTGAAGGAAGATAAGGATGCTCTGTACATTTGAATTGACATGTTTGGCGTAGACAAGAACAAGGTGAAGATTACGGTGGATTAGAACACTCAGATCGTCAAAAGGGAAGGCGAGAAGGAATCGGAGGATGAGCACGAGCGGATATAATCGGGCAGGGCGGAACTACCTCCGAATGTGTACAAGATTGATCAGATCAAGGCTAAGATGAAGAATGGTGCTCTTAAATTGATAGTTCCCAAGGTTAAGGAAGAAGAGAGGAAAGTTCATGAGGTCAAGATAGAATAATTCACCCATAAACTTTTGTATCAGAGGTTTTTGCCCCCCTCCACTAAAAATGTCACTTTAATGGACGTTTTTAGTGGTGTTAAATGTCCTTTTATCTTCTAGTAGAAAAACGTTAGTTGGTTTGACATTCTTGCCTAAAAATGTTACTTCGATTAACGTATTTTGATCTAAAAAACGTTATTTCAATTGATATTTTTAAAAGTGCTTGAGTTTAGAAAATACTTTAAAAACAACTATCTTTTAATTATATTTTTGTATAACCCCATGCACGGGGTAAAAGCTCCCCATTATTGCATCCCATTGGGGGTCCACTACGGTTAAGCCGGTGATATGGCCTATGACAAATCTACTATTGCATAAGGAGTTTTCTTCCTTCTATCAACATGATTCCATGAAGAAGAACTGACATCAATTTTCACTGAAAGAAAAGAAAAAGAAAGTCGGACAATTTGAATCACAGTGACATATTGAGTGTTAGACATGAATAGCAACTTATCCCAATTTGGGATTGTTGGATGCATCTCCCACTTTCTTATTGATGAGACTTTTCTGAAAAATCGTATGATGAAGACACGTGTCCTCGGGGTTTACTAAAACACTGTTGCTTGGATCAAGCACCATCGGCGAACGAATGTCCTCGCCCCCGAGGTACCTCATATAGGATCATGCATTCAGTATATTTTTACAACCAACACGTGTCCTCGGTCACCTATGTACCTCGGTCGCATACCTCCCTCGGTCCCCGAGATGAGCCTTTCCTCGGTGCCGAGAGTTACTCCGTCCTGGACGCTTCCTTTACTCCATGATAAGCTATTGACGTGCAGGACACTAGCCTAGGCTAGTCTAGGCTATTCATCATGACCTCGTCTTACACAAGTAATGTCAGAACATACTGGAATACCGAGGTCACAGCCAATAGGGGATGGACGCGTGGCAAATAATGTCATATCAAAGACAGACAAACCGCATGCCGTTGCTGACACGCGGCTTGGGAAAGCAAACAATTAATTGCACCCTTCCGTTGATGAGACCGCATTCAATGCGGTAAGGCTCGGAAATGAAAGGCAATAAATGCTCCTATTACAGAGCATTTATTGCATCCTCCCCGAGAGGAGCACATTGTACCGTCGGCATCCCGACGACTCAGCATTGATTGCTCGGGACCCCGAGCAGTTAATTAGAGAAGACATTCCTCATCAGAATCAATGCACACGCTACCTGTGCCTAATGATCACCTACTAACCACGCTGACAGCAATCATGAGCTTTTAAGGTATAAATACTCCTTGCAAAAGGCAACGCGGGTATGCCAACAAAAAACTCTCTACTACAATACATTTTTCTCAGTGTTTTCTCCTTCCTCTCTCTCACTCAAAGACTGACTAGACCGTCGGAGGGGATACGCCGGAAAACACTCCGGCGCCCTTCTAACTTGTTCTTCTTTGTTCCAGGAACCCCTTTCATCCTCACAGGATCGTTCTTCCTTTCCCAGGATCCCCGTTGCCATTCCGGGTTACTGCCGCACCTTGCAGGCTGTTCCAAGCAGTGTGTTTGGTCACTCCACCCGCTCACTCGAGTTCACCAGGGGAGAGATCTGTTCTCATTTTTTATATTGTGCAGGATCTTGCACGCACAATCTGGCGCCGTCTGTGGGAAACGACTAGTTTTCTGAGTTTTCTCTCTATAAAGAACAGTGACCATGGTGAACACTCGACAAAGAGGGAAAGGACCCCACCAAAGGAGTCTCGAGTTACAAGCTCCCTGTCGTCACGGAGGGAGGGATCACACTAACACGAATAAAAGTGCCTCTACTCGGTCAAGAGGGGTTACTCCTCAAACCAGTATGGGGATCAGGTCAGGGGGATCAGCCCCCTTGGCTCGTCAGCTGGCGGAGGTGATTGAAGAAAAATTTGGCGATAGATTACGTCAGCTAGAGAAGGACAATGTAAACGTCCTTAGCCGGCTTGACGAGTTTGCCGCCTCAGGCGGAAGGTCGAGGGATTCATTCCTTTCCCGTGGACTTCCCGCCCGTGAGGCGGAAACGAAGGATCTAAGAAACCACCTAGACCACAAAGCAGAAAGCTCTAGGGCCCCAAAGCGACCCAGAGCCGGCGAACATCATCATGACAACCAGTTCAGAAAAGCAAGGCCATTGGCCCTGGACGACCTCCGACGAGGTTTGTCTAGACGGAGGAAGGGAGATGAATCCGAGGAGGACTCAACCCAATCCACACGACGCCCGGGAAATGAGGGGCTTACCAATGAACTCAGGGACTTCAGAAGACATCCCGTCAGGGAAGAAGTTGATCTCAGAGCCCGATTAGACTCCAGGAGAAAGGGTAAGACTGTCCAGGATGAGGCCGAGGACGAAGTCATGCAAACACCCTTTACGAGGGAAATCAGTGAGATGGAGGTCTCAAGAAAGTTCGTCGTGCCACGATTCAAAACCTATGACGGGCGGTCCGATCCCGAAGCCCACATCAGGCAATATAAGCAGATGATGTCCCTCTATCATTCGGACCAACGGTTTCTATGCCGAGTGTTCCCTATGAGCTTGGGGGACTCTGCGATGAGATGGTTCGAGACGCTTCCCCCAAACAGTATTGGGTCCTGGAAGGAATTGACTAGGCAGTTCCTGACCCGATTCATTACGGGGAGTAAGCACCCCAAAGACATTGGATCATTATTGACCCTC